GTAGATCTGGTGGACTCGAGTATCCCCAGTTCTTGAGTATTCTCTTCTCACCCTTCTTTTGAGCCTTATAAGCGCGTCAACATGTGGGGGGAGAATATCTCTTCGATGTTGTATTTGCGAGCACTGGGTTACTGGAGTAGCAGAAGATGCAGCTAAGGACACGTTTCTCATGAAGATTGAGATTGCATCTTCAAGATCATCCGGACTATTAATTTCCATATTGAGGTTGGTTTTGCTAGCCAGTTCTGTTTGAAAAACTTTTACACTTGAGCCTCGAGGTAGAATATATTGCCTCTTAGATTTGCTTTGGTGTGCAGAATGCACTGTTGCTATGACAGGCAAATGATCCGAGGAGAGCTCATACCTTATTTCAGCTGCTAGCTTGTTTCTCTCAATCCCATTGGTTATAAAGAAGTCCAGAGCAGAGGGTGTGAGTCGAGTGTTATAAGAGAAGAAAGTTGGCTCACCAGTGGCTAGGATTTCGCACGAACTGTTGGCAATGGCCTCTTGCAAATGCTTCCCTCGAGAACATGACCTGTTGTTACCCCACCAGGGATGCTTCGCATTAAAATCACCACCAACTATGAATCTGTAAGCTAATTTATTGCTGCCTTATGTTGAGGCAGTACAAAGCCGATTACGAATTCATGGCCTGCTTCCTGTGCAAATTTTAGCCCGGCAACGGAGAAAAGAGAAAGAGAAGGACCTTGACACACAAGCACAGAGTGAGAGAGAGGGAGAGAGAGAGAGAGGGAGATTTCTAAGAGACTAACCTCATATATGCAAGCAATGCCCCAAAGTGCGGCAATTCAGGTGTCGTAAATTGTGCTACATTTTGTGCCGCTTTAATCGATTCATTTGATTTCCGACTACACGCACACACACACACACCGAGACACACACACACACACACACACACACAGTGCAGCGCATATGGAGTCAAGAGCGAAACCACTTGCGGCCAAGTTCAAGTAATCAAAGCCAATATAAAATAACAAAAACATTTTGATCCCCATCCGCTTTGATTTGGATTAATTGTAAACAGCAACGGGGGGCAAATGCGTAATGTTATAAGCCAATTTCACGGCCATAAATATCACTCTTGGTGAAAGGAATGAAATCAAAGTCAAAATTAAAATCAAATTCTTTTGGACCGACAGCCACCGCCCGGACTCTGATTTATGCTCGATGAAATTTAAATAACGATTTTTGTTTCCCTTTTGTTTGTTTTTTTGCCCAGCTAAGCAAATTTATTAAAAAATAATCCCAGCGGCAGCAGCAGCAGCGGCATATGCTCGACATATGCATACCCTATACAATTATATGCCGAAGAGAAAGAAGAACTCTACAGGAATTCCAATTGTTAAGAGCATCCATCACTCATTCAATTGCCTTTTCTGTTCTTAACGTCCCACCCTAATATACCCCATTCGAGATTCAGTTAGGGTATCTCAAGAATATGCTGATTTATGTGAGCTGCCAGCTTTTTCGATAACCGGCTTAGGATGCTTAAGCCAAATACAACAAAGATGACAATGACAATGACAATGACAATGCCAATGCCAGCAACAATGACAATGATAATGACAACAACATTGGCCAACAATTGGCCCAGCTATCGATGCTAGCCCCAGCGCCCAGCTGTCGTGTAAATATCAGCGTTTTCCAATCCGCTGCGCTCGTCGAGCACTTCCCCCTACGCTCGTCCATGGAGTGAAATGAGAGTATGTTGAGTCTGTGTGGCTGTCGTGTAAACGGAAAATGAAAATGGATTTAGTCAAAGTTTCGCTAATTAAGCTCTGAACGTGCATTCTACAGTCGGTATAGCTTTACGTTTCCATTTTTATTCTCCTGCTCTCTTGTTTATTGCGCACTCGCAGGTGTGAGAAAAACTAAAAGCACTTTTCATGGCTTTTCCTCATATTCTATTTAATTGCAGCAAGGTAAATACATTTTCTTGGGCTCTGAAATAAAAATGCTTCAATTGATTTACTTGACGTGAATATTGTGAGCCAGAGCATACGAAAAGAGGGGGGAGAGAGAGAAGGAGATGGGTATAGATTAAGTAATAGAGTAAAGTATTTGCTGAAAATCAATTTGATTCAATTGGGATCCAATAAAAAGTGCAATTTATGAGAATCGCATAGAAGAGCGATAACGAAAAATCTTTGATGCTCACACCTAAGATCCATTAAGAAGGTTAGGGCATTCATAGCTTCGCCTAATTAACTTTTCCCAGTTAGACAACTTTTAATGAGTATGACATAATGAAAAATTACAACAAATTGAAACTAAAATTGAATTAGAAACATCATTTCACACACAAGCTGAAACGACCCTAGGCAAATGCCAAAGAGTTGCCCGTGGGTCGATGAAAGGCAACGTGAGATTGAATGCGTACAAGAGCTTTGATTTCAAATTATGGCTAATACTAAATATTTAATCAATGCGCAGAGGCGATGCACTTGAAGTTTCTGTGAGCGTATGATGGAAAAGTCATGAAATAATCATCAAAAGCGCGAGCGCTGGAAGTCCGAGAGAGAGAAGCAGCAACAATTTAATTAACAGCGTCAAGTGGGGAGAAGTGTTCAGGAATCGAGTGACTTGTGACGGGCAGCAGAAACCAATTAAAGCGACAATGGAGGCCAATTGACGTGGGCGAAAATGTGAAATCCCTGAAAAAAAAAAGGCGACAACCAAATTATATGTAAATGGCAAAGTTTGCTAACTCTTTGCACTCCAGCCCCCAATGCAAATGAAAACAAAACACAAAATTTCAACTCAAGATTTCTGAAATGATATCAAAGCAGAAAAACCAGCACAAAACCAATTCCAATGTAAATATCAAATAGGTATGTGTGTGTGTGTGTGTGTGTAAAATGTTGTCTATCCCTAATTTCCGCTGTGATAGAGAGAGAGAGAGAGAGGGAGAGAGAGAGAGAGAGAGAGAGAGAGGGCGTTGTAGGGTCTCTCCATTGTCAATTGCTGTTTCTATTATTTTTGTTTTAAAGCTTTTAATGTCATTTATTGCCGGACAGATAAGCACGAACAGAGCCTAGGCCGAAGGCAAATGCAAATAGAAAACAATGAAAACAGAGCGAGAGAGAGAGAGAGAGAGTGTGTGTGTGAGGGAAAAGAAAAACCAATTGTGTGGCATATCAAAGGCAAAACACCTGTTTGCATGAAAAGTGTGAACGGAAAAGGCGTCGAGCGCTATGCTGGCTGCAAAATATTCCACTCGACGAGGGATTTGCTAAAGGATTTACCAACTAATAGATGCATGATATATTCTGATATTCATGTATTATTCACACAGTATTCAAAGTAACAACGAATTCGTTATCTAGCGTGTTTTATTATGCTGATCAAGGGTTACATTCGTATATAGACCTATATATCCATTATGTTATTAGTATTTTTATTCGTATTGCTATAGTTATCTGTCGTTAGTGGACTGTTAGACTGTCGCCTAGGGCGCCAGGCAGCCGCTCACTTCGAAGAACGGCGCAGTGCCCTGGGTCAGGCTAATCTCATAAATATTTCCCGTGGCACAGTTCAAGTCGATTCCAACGCTGAAGATTTGAACGCCGCCAGCGTTTACCACGAGCCTGAAGGGACTTGCGCCCTGGAAGGAAGAGAGAAACGTTTACGGATAAGTGGAATGAAGGAATGCTAGAGGAAATACCAAAAATGGGATATGATGATGAGAGGAGCTAGAGAGAATCTTATGAGCGGTGATGAAAGCCAGATGAATGGAGATCGAGAGGGAGGGAAAATTGGACAGCATGATTGAAGGATAGCCAGAAGGGCAAAGAACGACTAATGGGGAGTGGAGAGAGAGCAAGGTGAATAGATAGACTGATGAAAAGAGGGAGAGAGACGAAGGTACTTACAGCCGGTGTGGTAGGTGCCACTGTCGTAGGCGCAACTGTAGGAGCAACTGTGGGAGCAACTGTAGGAGCAACGGTAGGGGCAACCGTAGGAGCAACGGTAGGGGCAACCGTAGGAGCAACGGTAGGGGCAACCGTAGGTGCAACCGTAGGGGCAACCGTAGGAGCAACTGTAGGAGCCACGGTAGGAGCTACAGTGGGAGCTACAGTAGGAGCTACAGTGGGAGCAACCGTAGGGGCAACCGTAGGAGCAACCGTAGGGGCAACCGTAGGAGCAACCGTAGGAGCAACCGTAGGAGCAACCGTAGGGGCAACCGTAGGGGCAACCGTAGGGGCAACCGTAGGAGCTACAGTAGGGGTAGCAGTTGGTGCTGCTGTAGGATATCCATATGGCGGGGCGTATGTAGGCGCAGCTCCAGGAGCTGCTGGATATCCATACGGAGCATATGTAGGAGCAGGTGTCGTCGCCGTGGTAGGACCGGTTACAGGAGCAGGCGTAGTCGCCGCCGGGGGTGCAGCCGTCACGTAGACAGACGGGTAGATCGGATAGCTGCCGCTGATTTGCTTGCCATAGGAGCCCGGCGCCTCGGCCAAGGCCCTAGCGCCGTTGGCTCCACTGGCCGCGGCATAGGCGTACGATCGGCCGTCCGCACCGTGTGCGACGCTGTACTGGGCGTTGCCATACGAGGGCGCCACCTCGCTGTACAGGTAGTCCAGCTGCGCAGCGCCGCCAGAGGCCGCGCCGTACTGGCTGTAGCTGTAGTCGTCGTAGTAGGAGTCGCCGTAGTACTGGGCAACGGCGGCAATGGCCAGGCTGATGAGCAGGCAGAAGCTGAACGCCGACATGCTGGTTTAGTCTGGTTGTGGTGGTGGTGCTGGAGCGGTGCTGGGACTGATGTCTTGTTGGTCCGCACCGTCCCCTTATATGGGCAGTTGGCACCGTCTGCAGCGCATGGAAAGCGGATGACGCTATTCAAATCGCCTTTGTCCATATGCACACAAATGGATTGACGGTCGCAGTCGCATAATCGTTCTATCGGCGCACGTGACTCACTGTCTGCCACTAGCCGGGCAACTTCGACCCCGGCTAACTAACCCACTTTCATCATCAACTGCTTCATTTTTTCTTTCGCTACTTTTTTTTTCTGCAAGCGCGCTTATCGCAGCTCTACGTGCATTCTGCTCGCGCTTCGACTATGACATAACAGAATCATAATTGTGGAGTGCAACACACACACACACACACACACACACACACATGCACTCCCGCTCTAGTTTTTCTAGCTCCCTCAGGTCATAATCGGTTTTGGAGCTGCACAATGAAAACTTTGTTAATCACATTTACTTTTTTTTAGCTTCCCAACTGGACAGCTCTCTGTGTTAGCTTAGGTCCGAAACAGTGCTTGAATATTCACTTTTGACATTCGATTTTAATGCGATTATTGTTGTCAAATATAAGGAATATAAATGGATTACAAACTTTTCTGTTCTCTGTTTGAGAAAGTTATCTGAGCTGCCAATACCCTCAGCTATTTCCTTGCTGGTTCCCTTAACTCGTTGACTAAATAGGGCATATAGCTCATATATGGAGCATCTGGTCAACATCTTGAAGTACATAGGGTCTAGAATTCGCACAACAATCCATTCAATTCTATTCCCTGCCCCTCTGACTACATACATATATGGATATTTCTCTTTATGCATAGATACTATAGATAGATACTATAGATATTGATACTATATCCTATATATGTATTTATAGGTAAATAGATACTTCTTTAGACATTTACAGATGATTAAACATTTCCTTAGAGATTTACAGATGAATAGATATTTCCCTAGGTAGCTACGTTTTTAGAGATACTTTCTTAGACTTTCAAAGAAGTAGAGATACTTCATAATTTGTCTGTAGGAATGCATGGATACCTCCCCATGCCACAGATACATATATATGTGAATGTATAGATAAATGCTTCAACATGTATGTACATATACTTCCCTAGACATCTATGGATTTATATATATAAACACTAGATCTTTTTTGTATCTATAGATACTTCCTTATACCATAAACATATCTTGGAATTCATAGATACTTCCTTAGATACTAATGAATATATACTAAACAATATATACTATACTATTACAGATACTATGTCAACAGATACTATGTATAAATATACCCCTATAAATCAATATATTCTCAAATTACAAAAATTGATCATAGAAAATAAATTTCATTCTGTGAACATAGAAAATTAGTTTGTTTTATATGCAGCTTTGTTACAAATGAAGAAAGAAGAAGTGAAAACTTAGTTTGGTTCTATGAAATGGGAATGATATTTAGTCTTAAATAACTAAGTTTGCAGAGGAGCACATTCAAATAAGAAACTTTATATACAATTCTAATATCACTTAGAGCTGACAATAACTATTCTGGAAGCTCTCAGCAAGTTTTGATAAACTCATCTTTTGCCAGACATAAGAAGCTCTCTCTAATATATTGTACTATATTATTCACAGCGGTTGTTGCCATCTATACAGCAGCCAGTCAAGTAAGAAGCTCAAATGCAAACGCAGCTCCCTCTCCCTCTCTCTCTCTCTCTCTCTCTATGTAAACCACAACAGCTGCATGCACTTGGCATTGCATATTGCATGAAGCGGCATGGGGCTGGGTGATTGGGTGATTGGGCTTCATACAACCAGCTGAAGGGAAATATTCAACATTTATTTGTGGCTAACAATTCATTTGACTCGAAACTCAACGCTCGGTCAGGCTGGCAAATCAGTCAGAGCTCAGAGCCCTCGCCGGGCCTTCATTAATTGTCGTATACAAAGTGCAGCGGCTGATAATGGATGCGAAAGGCAATGGTTTGCTTGAATAATACCCTGTATATATAGCTGAGAAGTAAGAGAAAGTGAGAAAGAGCAGGAAAGGGAGAACAAGAGAGAGAGAGAGTGAGGGAGAGAGAGTGAGAGAGAGAGAGAGAGAGAGAGAGAGAGAGCGAGAGAGAGGGAGAGGGAGAGAGAAAGACAGAGAACTAGAAGAGTCAAAAATAGATACATACATATGTATATATGTACATATATTAAACCAATTTGGCTTTGCTATAATTTGTATTCATATTTATATTCAACTTTACCATACTATTTCATACTATTTCCATATACGTTAAGATGTAAATTTGGATGTTTTCCAAGGTATCTCTTAGTCGTGCATTACTAAATGACGCACATTTGGTTGTTCAACCATACTCTTCCACGCCATCTACATAGACCTTAAGATATATTTCAAGGGCACAGCGTATGCACACACACACACACACACACGCCCACTCGCCCACACTCTCATCTTGGCTGTAAAACAATTTGATTGCAACTTGTTGCTCGCTGCCATTTACACACTTCACCTCAGTGCCCTCTCCCCCCGCCGTTCACCTCTTGCACGCAGCGCACTGCTTGCTCGAGCTACTGCTGCTGCTGCTGCTGCTGCTCGTGTGTCGGCAAAGCAGTTGCTCAGGCGGCTTTCGCACTGCTCGACGAGTGTTGCCCGTGGGTTGGGGGTTGTTTTCTGTCTGCTTGCATATGAATATGATGGACAGCTACGCGCTGGCCAGGCGATTGCCAGGCTGGGCGAGGCTGGGCGGAGCTGGGCGAGTGGAGAACGATTCGCGTTCGTCTCATTTGCCTGGCTGCGCTGATGTGGAGCAGTCGCGTTTCAGTTCCCATCTTACTTTCTTTCTCACTTTGTAGTTGTTGTCGGGTTTTGTGATATGTTTTTGGCGCCAGATAAATTTCGAATCATTTGTATAAATAAATAACCAAACAGCGGGCGCTGTGCGTTAATTAAACAAAAGCGCCAACAGCAGCAACAACAACAGTAGCAACAACGACAGCAACAGCAGCAAAAACAACAAACAAATATCGAGAAGATTTTCCACGGCAAATGTAAGTGAAGATTTCCTCAAGTCAGACGAAATTTATGCTCTGTGCGAAAAACGATATAAATATGCATGAGAAATATTTTAATAATCGCGAGCTGAGTAAATCTAAAATGATTCGACGAAGCGATTGAAGTGAAATGAAGAACTCAAATTATTTGTATATAGAAGAAATCAATTTGCTTGCGTTTGATTATGATTATGTTTGGGTTTTGGGCTGAAGAAGTGGCAGCAGCGGAGCACTTAACTAACTTTGATTAGCTGCAAATTCCATACAGCAATTCAGCTGAATCAAAGAGCGATAATAAAAGCAGCAGCAGCAGCTAATCAGCTAAATAAACAGAAAAGTTTTCTGCAAAGGCAACGCAGGACAGAATTTGATGTTTCGTGGCATTAATATGGCCATGAAGCGTTCATAGTAGACATTTATGTGCAGCTAAAAGAATTTTAGTTCTAGCCATAAAAAAGTCAAGTAAAATTCTGGCACACGGGCATCACTGACTGCAGAATACTGATTAGCAATCAAATTAAGAGAGTTGAGTCTCTTGTGGCATAGGAGTCAGCGGGAGGGTCTGTAACTGCTCCATTCAGGAACTTTAGCCTTGTTGATTTTTACGATTTCCCACGTCCATCGGAGTTAATATATATATATATTAATATATCTTATATATCTTATCATATATTTACATATAAATCTTGATCTTTAGTTTGTCAATAGAAGCCCTTTAGCTAACTGAAGTACCATCATTTCCCAATCTGCCATCGAAATAATCTTAAGACTTTATCAAACGAGTCTATCTCTCCAAATTTAAAATACAGAAAAGCAGTCAGAGGCACAATGCATAAGAACTAATATACTCTTTTCACTCTCATCAATGAGCATCAAAAGTCTATATAAAGTGTGTGTTTGAGCTTTGTTTGGGCTTAGACTGTGCACAAAGCGTGGATTCTTTTGTTCTAGCTAAAAGACAAGAGAAGCTGCTGAATGGAGTAGAAGGAAGACTGAGATGAGCCATAAGGAAGATATGGCTGGCAGGAGAAGGAACTAGAATTGATGCAACAGGAAAGCTGACAAACTCGACAAGGGAGGGGCTGGGATTGAAAGGGAGACAGAGAGAGAGGGAGAGAGAGAGAGAGAAAGAGAGAGAGAGAGAGAGAGAGAGAGAGAAAGAGAGAGAGAGAGAGAGAGAGGGAAAGAGAGAGAGTATTACCGTCTGTTCTATGTCGCAGTCGAAGTGCTTTATAGTATCTTGTAGTGCCTTCTGGTGTTTAATAGCCAACTGGTGTCAACATCAATTTTACAGTGGTTTTAGTGCTGACTGTAAACTGACTGTAAGGCGAGAGAGCATGTCCACATTTCCATTTATAGAACTGCAAACTCCAAATGTGACTCTAGCAAATTATTTCATACTCCCCGCCTTAACACCCACCAAGACTTTGTGAAAATATCAGCCTTTCGAGTATTTCCCTTTCCCTTTTTTAAGTGAACTCTCTGTCCCGGATGTTAAAAGGTCAAAGGCACTTGTGTAAAATGTAAATACAATTGTATAATATATGCAGCTACTCTCTAATGTATGTAGCACATGGAAATATATATACATACAAATACGTATATTCACAACTTTCCCATTGCTCTCACAAATAAACACAAAAAAAAAAGAAGTAGATCTAAACCAAGATAAGCTGGTCCAATCTCTTCTATGGTGAGCATTTTTGCCAGGCAATGAGCCAGAAAATGTGCAAACCTACACACAAACACATAATCCCACACACACACAGACAATAGCATAATTGCATAAAGTGACCCACACACACACACACACACACACAATTGTCTGGACAGCATTCGCTAAAGCTAAACTCATTTATTATTATAATTGCTTAAAAAAGAAACAGAAGAGCAAGCGAAATAAGCTCCAGCATGGCCAAAAATTGTTGCATGAACGAATCGTAAATGTGGCTGTA